TGACCTAATGTGTTCCGTTTGGGCCTTGTGGTCACTGCCCAGGGCCCACATGCTGGGCTGTCACCAGGATGACAGACTGTTCTTGGGAGTGACTCACTCCCGTGCTCTCCCGAATTCACCTGCATTCTGAGAGTCCTGTGGCCTGTCGTCTGCTGGACCAGGCAGGACAGAGGGTGCAGCCAGATGCACCGGCCAAATGTGACAGGACCGGGGGCTCCTGTTTCAGAACACAAGTGCTCCTGGTGCAGTCAAAGCCACCGCCAGCATCACCACCTGAGTTGCCAGGAAACTGGCTGCAGTGTGCATCGGTCAGAGGGGAAGCAAGGCCGTTGGAGCTTTGATTGTTCTGTGGGAAACGAGCTTCCGGCCTTTTCAGGAGGGTGTCTGCCCTGATGGAGCCTGGTGACGAACTCCCTGGGAACATTGTTAATGTGCTCCAGGGAGGCTGACACCCCCATTTCTCTCTGGGCTTCTGGGGTTAGTAGCACTAAGACAACTTGTGAGTCAACCCACCAATGACTGCTGGTCTCAGTTCAGTGACCATGAATCCAGCCAATGGCCCTTGGAGAGCACGTGGCTTGGGCTCATCCAAATGCATGGGAAACCCACGAGGGCTTGTTCAGACCGCTCCTCTTTGTCTTGTTGGTGAGCGAGTATTCCCACCAGAGGGTTGTGGGGATGGCTGGACGTACAACCCCTGACACTGGGCAGGTGATATTGTGTACTCACAATGGGGGAGGAGGACACTGCACCCCATGCAGGGTCACACAGGGGTTGCACTTGGAGCAGAACGAACCAGCAGGGGCTTGGAGAGGCAGGCTTTGTAGTACCAAGAGGGAGGGGTGTCCCCTGGCTCCCACAGGAGGATGCTGTTGGGTGTCTGAATAATTCCTGGACAGGAAGGTCTGCTGATAGGGGGCCTGGGAGGATGGGGAGCCTTAGCCCCTGGTTGGGGTCATATGTGGTGAGAGCAGGGGACCTGGTGGCATGACCTCTGGGGCCCTGCGGGGCCACAAGGTGTCGAGGCAGCACTCAAAGTTTGGTCTTATGACATAGACTTGTGAGTACCGAATTAAAAGCTGCCCTTGTGATGAGACAGTCCCTCCCCTCCTTGGCTTTCAGTTGGATCAAGATGGCCTATTTTCACAGCAACAGCCATGCTTCTGGTTGCCAGCTCTGCACAATAAAAATCTTCCTTGAAAAATAAATATTTTAAGAATGCTTGATTTTAAATATTTATCTGCACAGGAAGTGCCTGCACCACACCCATCTGGCTGGGTTTCACTAGGAGGGCACATCCAGTCTGTGGCTCCAGTGAGCTCTGAGCTTCCAGCTGCACCGTCCCCTCACAGGCATGATGGACAAACACCGTTCCTTAATGCTCCACGCCTGGGAAAGAGATACCTTAATGGTGACGCTAGTCCAGGTTGAGTTGCATTTCCCCTTTTCTGCCATTATAATCCTGGGGGTGTGTGAACCCACTGCCATGGAGTCCATTGAACTCATAGCTCCCCTAGAGGACAGAGTGGAACTACCCACAGGGTTTCCAAGGCTGTCAGTCTTCCTGGAAGCAGATTGTCTCATCTTTCTCCTATGGAGCTGCTAGTGAGTTCAAACCGCTAACCTTTTGGTTAGCAGCCGGGTACTAACCACTGTGCTACCAGGGCTCCTTGGAGGTAAACGACGCAGGGAAGATGCACCTGTAATATGAAGGCTACATTTCAGTGGCCAGTCAGGCTTGGTCACCTGTAACCCAGGTAGCCCTCACGTGTTGTTCGCTGCCGTCAATTGGCTCCATCTCTCAGTGACCCCACACACCACCAGCTGAGATACTCCCCAGTCGTGCCCCAGCCCCTTGGTTGGTTGCATGCTGGACCGCTGTGGTCCATCGGGTTTTTGTTGACTGATTTTTTGGGAATAGGTCACCAGGCCTTTCTGCCCAGTGGGTGACCTGCTGGTATTTGAAATGCAGGTGGTGTAGCCCCCAGCCTCACAGCAACACGCAAGTCAATATGAGAGAACATACTAACAGAACCCTGGGGCAGAAAGGACCTAGTCTCCCCCCAGCTGAAGCGGCCTTTGCCCTTGGCTCTGGAGAAATAGCTCTTAGAGGAACTCAGTGTGTGGCCTGGGACTTCCAGCCACCCCTGAGGTTCTGTGCTGGCGAGTGGGGGCTGGCCAGACCAGGAAGGTCTCGCCTGGGAGGCAACATCTGCCGGCCTCTGGAGGGGCTATTTTGCCATCATGCAGGAGTTGTCCATCGAGGCCGGGATCGTGGTGCTCTCGGGGCGTCCTGGTCTGAGACCTGGCAGCTGCACGCTGGCACCCTCCCAGCCCCTGCCTGGGCACCAGTTCCTTATGGTGATTCTGATCTGTACCCTTTTACGATAAGCAGGCTGGTAGGCGTGAGTGAATTAGCGAACTCAAGGACGGTGTCCTCTTAACCTGTAAGGCCTGTCCTGGCCCCACGCGGCCAGGACAGAGGGCGAGAGCACCATGTCACTGGGTGTCAGAGGTGATGGGGAAGTGGGGAAGCAGGTTATGATTAATGTTCACTGCCCAGGAACCAGCTCTGTGCAAACGCTCACTCACGAAGCCATTTTTGTCTGATGATGCCTTCAGCATCGTTGACCTTGTCCTGATGACCTTGTCAAAACGGGAATGGGGACCCATGCAGGGGGCCCTTCCTCCAAACTGCACCCCACTCTCCCACCCCTGCACTAATGAGACCCTGCCCTGTGCCCTAGCTGTGCCCTCCTGGCACAGGATGGTGTCTTCCCAAAGTGCTCCTCCATCTTGTCACCATGCTGTTTAAGCCAGAGCCCCACCCTCAGCCATGCAGGGTCAAGTCCACCTACATCCCTCCAGGGCCTGGCTGGACCACAGCCAGACTTACGTCCTAATATCCCCACTATCCCTCTGCTGACCTCCCATAGCATCTGTTGCACCTGCACGCCGGGTAGGGTAGGGGCAGTCTCTTTGTGGCATGCCAGCCCTGCCACCTGGCCCCTTCCCTGGCTGGTGCCCGCTCCTCCCGAGTGCCCAGTGCAGGCATCCCCTCCACCCCCAGGACCCTTTCGCTGCACTCTGGCCACCTCCTGCCTGGCAGGCCTGTGCCCACTGCTTGTGCAGCAGTAGACTGGAGGGGACTGTCCCCTTGCGGAGGGCACCCTTGGGGCCTGGAGGACAGACACATTGTCTGTCTAGTTGCACAGCCTGGTGCCCGTGAGGGCTGGCAGTGGTGGAGCTCTGTGGAGTGGGAGGGCACTTTGAGGTTTTGTCCAAATCGTTGCATCTGCTCCTCCACACGCCTGTGTGCAGACTCGAACAGAGCCCTGGGGCAGGGGGCTCCTGTCCCCACAGTCGGGGCCAGGGAAGCTCTCCGTCACTAAGCAGGGGCTTTCCTTCCCTGTGCTCCTGGGGACAGACGGACAGTAAACTGTAGCTGGACATACAGATGAGTGTCCGGAACCAGCAATGTCCGGGTCCTCTCTGGGGCATGTACCACACAAGGTTTGGGGACCAGGCTCTACAGGCACACACAGTGCACCTAGTGAAGACATCTTGTCTCAGGACACAGGCGAGGTCAGCCGATGGCTGGAGGTCAGCTGGAAGGAGGCCTGGGGTTGGGGGCCAGCAACTGGGAGGGGGGACTGGGCAAAGGAGGAGACTGGCCTGAGCCCCAGTGGAGGTGGGGTGTCCCACCCGAGGACCAGATGGAAGGACACATGCCGACGCTGGGGACACACACCAGCAGTGTGAGGAGAGTGTCTAGGGTCACAGTAGCTGACAGGCAAGCCTGTGTGAACTTCTTTACAGTCACGTGTGGACGTGGGTTCAGGGGGCGGAGAGTCTCGGGGGAGGTGGGTGGTTCGGAAAGCTCTCATTTCTGTGATTTCTCCCTGGGGTGACTCACGTGGCCCAGTGACAATTAGCAGAAGTGATTGCTGTGTTGTGGCCACAGGCCCACAGCCACTCGGGGGCACCCGGTTGCATTGTGCAGGGTCAGGCTGGGCCCTGGCTGTTCTGGGGCCCCTGGTTCTGTTGTGTGGGGTTGGGCCAGGCCCGCAGCCGTTCTGGGGCACTTGATTCTGTTGTGTGGGGTTGGGCTGGGCCCACAGGCACTCTGGGGCACCTGGTTGCATTGTGCAGGGTCAGGCTGGGCCCTGGCCGTTCTGGGGCACCTGGTTCTGTTGTATGGTCGAGATGCCCTTTTCCATCACTGCTTCATGCCTCAACGCCCCACACCTTCACTCCCTCCACTGTCACCAGTGTGCACTCCTGGGCTCATTCCTGGAATGCCCTGGCCAGTTTTGTCTCTGGTGACAGTGCAGGTGGAGGGGCTCTGCCCGGGACAGTGGCACACTGAGAGACCCCAGCTGGACTGGCCCTCTGCAGATGGGGAAGGGTGTCACGTGCCCGTTCGTCTCTGGCTCTCCCCAGCTCGGCCGGGGCTCTGCTCCGTGACGTGGGCTCTGGGAGTGTCCTGGGTGGTCTGTAACAGGGCCCCAGAGCAGGGGGCTTCTGAGAACAGACATTTTCTCGGGGCTCTGGGCCCAGAGCATTGAGCTCTCAGAAGGCTCTGGAGAGGACCCTGTCTTGTCTCCAGCTGTCGGGGCCCTGGGCATTCCTTGGCTTGTGGCCATGCCACTCGTGTCTGTCACTCCGTCATCCCATGGCTGACTTCCCTGTGTGTATGGGTCTAAGGACACTAGCCATGTATGGTTAGGGCCCTCCTGCCTCCAGTTTGCACTCATGTCAATATAACCAGTAGCATCTCAGACCCTGTTTCCAAGCAGGGTCCTGTTCACGGGTTCAGGTTAGAACTCCAGCAGGGTTTATGGGGACAGTTCAGCCTAATAGCTCCCTGTGCAGAGAAGGGAGTGGGGCGCAGAACTTTCCTGTGTGGCAGGAGGTGCTGAGGTCCTTGTTGGAGGGGCTTTTATGAGGCACAGGGCTCCCAGGTCATCTGACGTCCCTCTGTTTGCTCCACAGTGAACTTCGACCACTTCCAGATCCTGCGGGCCATCGGGAAGGGCAGCTTTGGCAAGGTAAGTTGGAGCCTGTGGGCCTGGGGCCAGCAAGGGTGATCGGGGGAGCTGTGTGACAGACATGCAGTGCCATGCCCGTCTGCCCTGGGGACATGCTCGCAGCGTGGCTGCACCCCACAGGTGGCAATGTGAGAGTGTCACAGCCGAGCTCCTGACTGCTCAGGCCCCCTGCAGCCCAGTCTCTGGGGGTCTTGGAGCTCAGGAGGAGCTGAGGGTGTGGGCTGCCAGCAACAGTCTGTGGGACCTTCCTCACTGCTCATGAAGACCCCTCAGCACTGAGACCACTTCGCTGGATCCGCTTTCCTCACCTGCTTTCCGTCCTAGCACACTCCTGGGTCTGAGAGGAAGGTGGTCCAGAGCTGAGGGTCGTGGCCTGTACACAAGTGGCCCCGTCTCAGGCTGCCGGGGAAGCGCCTGGAGTCATGGTGGGACCACAGTGGCAGCGGCGGGGAGGCGACCGCGCCCTCCACACAGTCCCTTGCTCTCCCACCCCCACGGCCTCGGGAACTGGAGCTGCAGTCCTCAGGTCCTTTTGTTCTCTCTGGGCTGGATCCGACTTCCTGATGGCGGCCTCCAGAGGGATTGGAGTAATTATAACTTAGAAGAGGCCTTAACAAGCCACTAAAGAGCTCAAATTAGCTCCCGGGGCCCTGTCTCCACGCTGTGCTGTAAGGAAGCCACTTTCTGAATGGCCCAGCTGCCTCCCAGCATTGGCGAGGCTTGGCGGACCGTGCCTTCGCCCTGGCTGCCATCCTCTCTGTGCATTGGCTGGACCCCACGCCTGCGACGCTCTTTAAGCTCTTTGACAGGAATTGCCCTGTCCCCAAGTCCAATACCTGGCATCGGAATACCTCTAATTACCTCGCGGCTCTGTGTCCCGGCTGATCGCTGTGTGACGCTGTACGCAGTGGGGAGGTTCTCTGCCTTCATTAGCTGCAGAAAACCCACTGTGTGTCCTGGTATCTCATGATCATCAACGGGAAAGTGGGGGCTCGAGGGGTCTGCAGAGCTTGAGGTGCTGGACCAGCCTCTGTTACCTCACTATTCACAGATGAGTACCGTTCTGTCCCGTGGGGCCGCAGAGGGGGTAGGGACAGACGAGGGCAGGCAGGGTGAGGCTCGGGCGACCCTGTCCCCAGTGCGGTTTTAGGAGAGGGTGGCCCATGGGGGAGGCATGCTGGGGTGATTGAGAACAGGGGTGCTGGAACCCCGACGGGCAGTTGTATGTCCAGAGGGGCCAGAGTGGTCCCTGGTGTGGGGAAGGCTGTCGGACATGGCTCACAGTGGGGCCTGTTCCTTGGCCCCTGTCTACTCCCACCACTTGTGGCCCTCCTGCACCGTGCCTGGGCGCTGTCTGTGCTCCCTGTGGAAACAGCTGGACAGCTGTTCCCAATGTCCACAGAGCTGCAGGGGTCCTGGCCTCTGAAGAGTCGGGGGCAGAGGATCCCTGGAATGGGCTCTGCAGAGTGGATGACAGAGGTGGCCACTGAGTGGGCCTGGGCATTATTTCAGATGTGAGCACCTGTGCCACTGAGCCTCCTTGCTAATGAGGCCACCGGGGGCCTGGACTGGGGGAAGACGAGGGCTGGCCACAGACTCGACTCTGCTCAGGCAGTGACCCTGCAGGGAAGGGGCCGGAGCTGGACACTGTGGTCGCCTCTCGAAGGCTGCTGGAGCACGCCTGTTTGTTCCTGCTGTTTCAGGGGTGTCCGCAGCAGCTGAGAGCCCTGGCCCTGCAGGAGGAGGGACTGGCAGCTGCAGCCTGCTCTGAGGATCAGAGCTGCCTGGAGGACCGGCCCTCAGACCCTGGGACACCTCCGGAGGCACTGGCATTGGGCAGCCGGCCGCCCCCTCTGAGCTGTGGCTCCTCGGGTCACATCTTTCTGGCCCAGCAGCGGCTGAACTCAGCTGCTCCGCTGGGTGGGCTGCGGACTCCTGGTTGGTGGGCACCAGAACTTTAAGGCTTCAAAGTCCCATGTGAGGATGCTCACTTCTGATGGAGGACTAGCGAGTGGGGGGCTCCGTGCATCTGGGGTCTCCCCTCTGCAGGCTCCCCAGGCGTCTCCTGAGGTAGGGGGCTGGGCTCTGTGGGCCTCGTGTTGGGGGCAGGTGTGTTGAAGTTGGTTTTACTGAGCGGAAGGCCCGCTGACATCGTTGAAAGCCAGAACCAGTAGAAAGTTCCTGACAGGAAAGAGTAAGGTTCCAGGGGGCACGGACGGGGCTCACAGGTGGAGAGAAGTTGAAGGGGTGGAAGTAAGATTGGTGGGAAGTGGCCAAGTCCAGGGGAGCTTGAGAACCGGAAGGGTCCAGAGGCTTCATGCTGACCGTGGTCAGGGCTGCCCACTGGGCCCCAGGTTTCACGGTCATTCCTCAACCATTCACTCAGCCCCACGTGTCACAGACTGCCGGGTGGTCCCCTGCACAGATTCACCTGACTCCGGGCGTGACTCAATGGCCTGCTGTGCTCCAGAGCTCCCAGCATACTGGGGCCGCTCCAGAAATCTCCGGGGAAGGACAGCCCTCTGCCAACGCCCTGTTGGGAGCCTTGGTCCAGGCTCCTGGGTCAGGGTCACACGATGGTGGTAACCTCGGAGACCAGGTCTAGGGATCTAAACCATAGCTTCCCACCTGCTCTGGGGTACACGGCTGCCCACCTGCTGGGCTGCAGCTGCAGGCCCTCCCCCCACTGCCCCACTCATATCCGTCTGAACGTAAGAATCCCAGTGCATATTCTCTTGGGGTCGCCTGAACCCCAGGTGGCTCAGCTGGGGTTTAGGGCTTCCTGGATGACGGAGGGGTGGGGAGTGTGAGGGTGGTGTTAGGTGTCAGGCAGAGGAGGCCCAGGCCCACCTACGGCGACTCAGAACCAGGGTCCACTCTGCCATGTGAGGCCTGCTGCTGGGGGAGCCCCATCGCCCCAACCTTCCCTCCCTCCGTCCTCCCCTATTTCCCCAAGGGGGCTGTCCTCTGCGGCACTGCAGAAAGGGCAAGGAGGCCACATCTCCTGACCTCCTCTACCCCCACAAGAGGAAAACAGAGTCACTATCAGTAACCCAAGGCCTATTCCTGCCAGGCCAGACATGCTGCCTCCCTCCAGCCCTTTCACCAACCGTTCCTCCCAAAACACCCACCACCTCTCTCCTGGGCTCGATAATTCACTGCAGTGGCCACACAGAACTCACAGATTACGGGGTTTATTAGGGAAGCACCAGGCTACAACTCAAGTTCAGGAAAAACACTCAATCTCTCTCCCAGCCCATCGTCCCTCAGCCAACAGTCTCTCACAGTCTCTCTCCCAGCAGTGCGTGTCCCTCAGTGTCTCACTCGGCAACGTGTGTCTCTTGCGTCTCTTTCCCAGCAGAGTGTGTCTCAGGAGCGAGTGTCTCTTTCAGTAGCACGTCTTCCTCAACCGGGAGTCAGAGAGAGACTTCTGCTTCTAGGAGGCCTCCTTTTGAGCCCAGCAGAGTGGCCAAAACAACCAATTATAACATCAGAATTCTAAGCACCTGAGAGAGAGAGAGGGACCCTCCCAGAACACTGTTTTGTGCCACTCCCCACAGAAATACCCCAGGTGGACATCTTCAGCAATCAGGAGCTCCTCAGTTGCTCACGGCAAATTCTACCTCAGAGTTTACAGAGACTTTGGGTAGAAAAGCTACACTATGTAATTTACTACGTGCAAGCACCCTTCCGGAAATCTCAGGGTGAGGCAAGGAGCAGCCTGCCTGGCTTGGGGCTGGCCCTGTGATGTCACTGTCCCCAGAGGCTGCTGTCTTTGAACGGTGTCAGCTGGGGTGAGGGTTCTGGAAATAGGGGCTATCCCTAGGTGTTGCCTCCCTGGCCCCAGGTGATAGGGTGGGTCCAGAGTGATGGGGCAGGAGTTGATCTGCCCCTGCAGAAGAGGTGGCCTCCATCCAGGGCCCCAGGGCAGGCCAGGCCAGCCTTGGAAGATACCTCACACCCTCGAAAGGAGCAGTGCAAGCTCAGTGCCTCACCCGCAGCTGAGCCAGGCTTCCTGGGGAGTTCTGCGGCTCCCAGCCACCAGGACCCCCAGCCCCAGCCTAGTCCTGAAGCTGCTGGCAGCAGGGTGCCATCGGGGCTGAGCCGGGCACGCTTACTGTCTTAAAGAAGGGTTTGCTCACCCACAGCCTTGTTTGTTCTGGAGCGTGTCTGGTTTCTTTCCAGTCACTGGAATGTTCTGTGGTGGAGGTAGACTGCTGTGGATAGACCCAGGCCTCTCCCAGCTCCAAGTTCCTGTCTGTAACGTGGGCCCCTTTGTGGTCACAGACTTGCTCTGAACGTTTGCAGCAACGACGTGGCTGTGCTTTGAGGATGGGGTAACATGGGGTGGCTAGTTCCCCACGGTGCTGATGGCCACGTTCTCTTTTCCCGCCCAAGCACGTGGGTAAGTTCTTCCTGGGGAGTGTGAGGCATGGCGTGGTGATCTGGTCCCACTGTGTGGTGACGGGACTGAGAAATTACACACAGACCCTTAGCATGGGTGCGGACCCTTGATGTGGGCACCAGCCCTTAGCATGGATGTGGTCCCTTAGCATGGGCACAGACCCTTAGTGTGGATGCGGGCCCTCAGTGTGGGCACAGACCCTTAGTGTGGGTGTGGACCCTTAGCATGGGCATGGACTCTTAGGGTGGACGCGGGCCTTTAGTATGGGCACAGACCCTTAGCGTGGCAGGTGAGCTGTAGCAATCCCAGGCCCCAGCCCCCAGCCTCCAGCCTCACGGTAACGGCACGCTTCCCACGTGCCCAGAGGCCACCCCGGATGCCTCTGATGGGTGGGTGAACCCCGAGTCCCCGATGTGGTTCCTGTCCAGAGCTTTCTGTGGGATCCTGGGCACCGGGCTGGAAGACAGCACAGAGGGCGTGGAGGGCGCAGGAGGGCCCGTGGGGGGCTGTGGTCCTGCACAGCAGCTGCAGGAGACGGGTGGAGGGCAGCCAGCCGCTGAGTGTTGAGATCCTGGCCTGGCCCCAGCAGCCCACAGAATCCAGGCCCTCGGGGTTTCCTCTCCTGCGCCTTCAGGGAGTCTGGAACCCTCCGTCTGGCCCTGGGAGTTTCATAAGCACGGTCTTTCCTACCAGGACACCCCGACAGGGCATGCTCCTCCTGAGGACGGCTCCGCCATCCCTCCCGACAGGCTGCCTGCTGGGCGATTTTAGGGGCGCTTCTGTTCCTTCCTTTCTGGCTTCTGCAGCAGTTGGGGCTCCTGAGCTGGGCCCTCAACTCTCTTGGGCTCCGATCTGCACGATTGCGGGCTGCTCTGGGCTGGGCTCTGAGAAATGCAGATGCCAAGTGTAGCAAAGGCTGGGATTGCCCAGGGCGCGCCCCCTCCAGGCGGCGACAGCTCCCAGTCAGTTCCCTCTGCTTCCCACACTGTGAACACCTTTCCCCACAAGGCCAGGCCTGGGGAGCCAGGGGGAGAGTGCCTGGTGCCGGCACGGTGGCTTTGAAGTGGAGGGAGAGGTGAACATCTAGGACACCAGGCCCCAGCTTCTGTCTCCACGGCTGTGGGCCCCACCCCTTTACGGGACTGCTGTCACTGAGGTCCCCAGGAGGAGCAGCAGCCCAGCCAGGCTCCTGATGCCTCTGGTGGAGCTTCTGCTTGGGGCTGGAGGGGCACGGACAGCCGACTCACCTTTCCAGGTGCCAGCCGGGGTGGTCGCCCTTTCCCCGTCCTGCAGGATGGGTCTGCTGTCTGCAGAGTGCTTCTGGGCCACTGATCATGATTCATCAAATCCATTTTAAGGAGACCCGGCTCAGGCTCAAATACCTGGGAAGGCCCCTTGGGCAGTTCTGGCCTCAGGGTCTGCTGCCCGGGCCTAGTTCAGACATTGGTGGAGGAGGCCAGGGGAGGGGAGGGGCTGCACCGAGCCCTAAAGAGGACGGGACAGTCCGTGGAGGGCAGGCAGCGTGCCAGGAGTGTGGTACGAGCAGAGGCTGGGCTCAGCAGTGTGGCCAGGGACCGGGGAGCTGGGTGTCCCGCAGGGCTGGCCTGGGGCATCAGAGGCCTGCTCAGAGCTGGCCATCAGCTCCCGATGCACCTGGTGCACAGTGTGGTGTCAGGCAGGGGCGTGGGGAGGCGCTGAGTGCACATCTCTGCACAGGTCAGTAGCCTGCATTTCCATCGGAAGCCCTGGCTCTCTGCTCCCCCGCAGACCACAGCCCCAGGACAGCCAGCTGCCCTCCGCGTGCCTGCTGCGTGTGGGAGGACAGACATGCCTGATGGGATGCTGGCTGAGCAGGCTGGGCGCGGTGGGCACACAGGGCGTGGGCACAGTGACAGCCAGCTGCAGGGGCTCACTCATTTTCCTTTTGACTTTTCCAGTGGATTTTCAGGAGAACTGCTTGTGGAACTGCTGTGGGGGTTCTGGGGGCCCAGGGGCTGGGGGGCTGGGAGCAGTCACTGATGATGTGGCGCCAGGGTTTCCCTGCCCTGTGCGTGGCAGCCCCGCCATGGACCCTGTCCCCATGTCATCACTTCTGCCAGCTGGGCAGCCATGGGCTGGAGACAGAGACCCTTGTGTCCCCTCTGCCTGTTTCTCCCTGGTCCCTGGCAGACAGGACTGTGCCGCCTCCTCCTTGAGTGCCAGCCCTGGGACATCACATGCCCACAGAGTGGCAGACTGCCGTGCTGGCCTCTCGCCTGCCCGTCGAGTGTCTCCATTGCTCAGAAGGAAGGGCGGGCAGGCATCACCCTCACCTCATGGGTGTCTCAGGGAGGGGCACCAAGGCCACCAAAGGCCACACAACCAGTGAGCCGTGGAGCTCAAGCAAACCAGCCTGGTGCCCCCAGGGGCCACCTGCTAACCATGGCATACCCTCCATGGCCCACAGAATGAAGCCCCCAAAGAGGTCACATCCGAATCCCTGAGACATGTGACCACGTTCTGCAAAAGGCCAAGGGGAGCGAGGTTGCAGGTGGAGCCAGGATGCAGATCCACTGACCAGATTTTAGGGAGCTAGGCCTGGCTTCTGGCTTCTGCGTGGCCTCATGGGTCCGCGAACGTGGAAGAGGAGGCAGAGGGGGCAGAGAGGGGTTGGAGGAAGTCACATGGACGGCTGTGCAGGTGGAGTAGGGGCTGTGATCCCATGGGTGGGGGTGGCCATGAGAAGCAGGAGAAGGAGAGGACGTGGGTTCTCCCCCTGGAGTCTTTAGAAGGAGCCAGCTCTGTGGACCTGGGTTCTGGATTTCTGACTCTGACCTTCGAGCCCTGAGAGGGTAAGCATGGGTCACTGGGTGATTGTTATGGCAGGCACAGGGGACCATACACCTACCTGCCCAATCCCACTGCTGGGGGCACCTCTACCCCTTCAGCCGGGGGCCCTTCATATCTGTGGGCCAAGGAAGCCCAGTGCCTGGGTGGCCTCTGACCCATGTGTTTAGGTTCAGAGGCCCCTGACCCAGACGCAGGTGGCCAGAGTACCCCCTCAGCTGGGAGCATGCTGGGGACACAGGGCTAATGCACGGTGCTAGCCGGGCCCTGCTGCACAGTGGCTGTGCACTGAGGTGCTGACACAGCTCAGTCTTGCAAGTCACACGAAGAGTGGGTCACTGCAGACCCCACCCTCTGAGAGGGTCAACCAGTGAAGAGAGGCTAGCCTCCTGAGGAGGGAAGACAGGGACCAGAGGAGAGTTGGGGGTGTGGACAGGTGTCGGGCCAGTGCGTGGCCTCAGCTGTAGGAATAATCTCAGCCCCAATGGAGTGGAGCTGGTCCCTGATGTTCCATCTCAGCCCCAATGGATTGGGGCCGGTCCCTGATGTTCCGTCAGCATCTATCCCTTGCGCCCCACCCCCCATGTCATTACAGAAGCCAAAGCAGCCCCTCCCAGGATGGAGCTGTTTCCGCCTGCCCATGCTCAGTGCAGTTTCTGCCACGTTGGTATCTAATCTTTGCGTCATGGTCATTACACAGTGTAGCTTCATGTTTTTGCTTGGCATTGGGAGAACTGCCGTATGCCATTCAGTCCTTCATAAGTTTTATTTCAGTTCTGCGTAATGTTTTGTTGAGCTCACTTACCCCCGTCCATAAGGCTGTTGAATGTCAAGGTTGTTGCAAAGTGTTATTATAAATAACACTGCAATGTACACCTTCAGACATAAAGTACCATCTGTTTCTTAGGATACACCCAAGGGCTGAATCGACTGGGTGTGACCTGAGACTCTGATGCCCACTCAGGGGCCCAGTCAGTTCCAGGCCACCTGCCTTTGGGTCATGTGCTTGGGACAGTTGCCTGCCCTCCCTGAGTCCTGGGGTCTTTGATTTCTCCAGACTCCTGGGCTCGTCCTTCAAAACTGGAGACCAGAGGTGGCAAAGCCCCTCAGAGATGGCTCTGGGTTATCTGCCTCAAGAGTTCTTTCCAAGAGCTGACTGGCTGCACAGCCCATGTTTCTGTACATCCAGTCCTGGCTCCCTGGACATCCTTTGTGTGGGTTCTGATGGACGCTTAGTGCCTGTTTCTCATAGTTAAGTCCTACACCTCTCTTCCCCCTCGTCCTCTCGGCCTGGCAATAGATGCTTGAGGGCATTGCTGCTGGAAAGAGCCAAGTGGATAGCCTTCATCCCAGAGGGTCCCTGCTTGGCTGAACTGTTGCAGAAGTCCACTTACTCCTGGTGAGGATGGTAGTTCTCACTTATGGGGGATTCCTAGGCACAGGCTCTGTGCTATGTGGGTTCTCATGTCCCTCAGCAACCCTCTAGGCCACTTGCTCCGAGTCCAGGAAAGGATGCTGAGGTCAGGAAGGTAACTTGACCAGCCCAGGTCATGGCTGGTGAGTGTGGAGGCACTAGCCTGCCCTGCACTGCCCCCCACACCACACTTTTGTTCACACACAGGGTGCTCTTAGGCTGTTCTTAGGTGTCCTGCTTGTTCTCTGGGAGGAGCTTGCTCACAGGACACTCATGTCACTAAGACTGGCCATTTCCGCATCGGCTCTGCTGTGGCTGAGGAACATGCGTCGCCCCGTGTCCTTGCTGAGATGCCCTCTGTGCTCCAGGTGTGCATCGTGCAGAAGCGGGACACAGAGAAGATGTACGCCATGAAGTACATGAACAAGCAGCAGTGCATTGAGCGTGATGAGGTCCGCAACGTGTTTCGGGAGCTGGAGATCCTGCAGGAGATTGAGCATGTCTTCCTGGTGAACCTCTGGTGAGCTTGCCTGCCGGGGGCCTGGTCCAGTGAGGAGCTTGCTACCAAAAGGCCTGCCTACCCCAGCCTGGTTCCTCAGTCTCTGCCCACGTCAGCCCCTGGAGTGCCCTCCCTGCCCTCCCTATCCCTGCCGTTCTCTCACCTTCCTGTACCCCAGGGCCACCGGGGTTCAGTCCATGGACATGCTTAGGGTAATGTGGTACCACCCCTAGGCCTGTAGTAAGCCCAAGACTTTCCCACAGAGGAGACATGTGGTCCCTGAAGTTTGTGGCACTAAGATCACTGGGGAGACTTCAGCTCATCCCCATCATCATCATCATCATCATCATCATCATCCCCATCATCATCATCATCTCTGTCGTCATCTCCATCATCATCATCTCCATCATCATCATCATCCCCATCATCTCCATCATCATCATCTCCATCATCATCATCATCCCCATCATCGCCATCATCACCATCATCCCCATCGTCATCATCCCCATCATCATCCCCATGATTGCCATCATCATCATCATCTCTATCATCATCTCCATAATCAGCAGCATCATCTCCATCATCCCCATCATCCTCATCATTATCATCTCCATCATCATCCCCATCATCTCCATCATCACCATCATCCCCATCATCTCCATCATCATCATCTCTATCGTCATCTCTATCATCATCATCTCGACCATCATCCCCATCATCGTCATCCCCATCACAATCATCACTGTCGTCATTCCCTCATCCCTGTCAGCATCATCATCTCTATCAGCATCATCCATCACCAGGAACATCTCCACCATCCCCATCCCCATCATCATCCCCATCCCCATCATCCCTATCCTCATTCCCTCACCCCCATCGTCATGTCCATTATCATCCCCATCCCCATCACCAGTATCCCCATCACAATCAACTCCATTATCATCACCCCATCCCCATCCTCCCCACCCTACCCGTCCTCATCTGTGTCATCGTCATCATCCCCATCTCCACTGTCATCATTACCTCTCAGTGTGAGCACTTCTTCACCCATCTCCCTGGGCACCCACAGGTACTCCTTCCAGGATGAGGAGGACATGTTCATGGTGGTGGACCTACTGCTGGGTGGGGACCTGCGCTACCACCTGCAGCAGAATGTCCAGTTCTCCGAGGACACAGTCAGGTTGTACGTCTGTGAGATGGCGATGGCCCTCGACTACCTGTGCAGCCAACATATCATCCACAGGTGTGTGCTCACCTTGGGTGGGGTGCCCATCTGGGGAATCCTCAGACTCTGCCGGTGGGTTCCAGATGGGAACAGGGGTGGTTTCAGGACACTCACCTCACTCTTCCCTGTGCAGAGACGTCAAGCCTGACAACATTCTCCTGGATGAACAAGGTGAGCCAGGGCAGGTGAAGGCAGGTGGGAGCTGTTGTCCGTCCCTGCCACAGGGACGTTCTCTGGGCCTGGGGTAGCTGTCCAGCTTCTCCTCCTCCGGCAGGACATGCACACCTGACAGACTTCAACATCGCCACCATCATAAAGGACGGGGAGAGAGCGACCGCCCTGGCTGGCACCAAGCCCTATATGGGTAGGCGCCTGCTACTCAGACTGCACCCACCCCCATGGTCCAGCCCTCTTACCTCTCCTGCCAGCCCACAGGTCTCCCCAGACTTCTCCCCTAAAGCCATCTGACAGTAAGCAGTGGGCCAGGCTCTAAAGAGAGTCATGAGTGGACTGGGCATGACTCCCATGGATGCCCGTGGTGGCTTGTGATGTGCCACTCCATGCAGAACCATCCCACTGGGGCCAGCTTCATTGGCAGCTCCCGAGCTCTCTGCACGTGGGTGCTTGTGGAAAGGCACTGGGAGGCAGAGCACAGTGCTGCTGGGTGCAGGTGGGCCTGTGGCGCTTTTGTGGCTCAGCGCCCCTTCTCTGTCTGTTGAAAGCCCCTGAGATCTTCCAGTCCTTTGTCAGCGGAGGGACCGGCTACTCCTTCGAGGTGGATTGGTGGTCGGTGGGGGTCATGGCATACGAGCTCCTTCGAGGATGGGTATGGAGCCATGAGCAAGACCCTTTCTGTGCTTTGGGGTGGCCAGAGTTCTGACAAGTGACTGTGGCTTGGCTGGCTGGGTCTTCCGGGGCCTGGGCAGGTCTGCATGCAGCTGAGCAGGGGATGCCTGCCCAGAACTTTCCAGAAGGTTCCTGAGTCGAGCCCAGTGCTCCCCTTGGAGGCCGCCATCCATTCAGCCTGGGAGCTCAGGGGTGAGGAGTGCCCTGCCCCTCCCCATCCCTCTGGGGGTCCTGGGCACCCTGGCTCCGCACCTCCAGCCACCCCACAGGACCTTGGCCTGAAGTAGGCAGACCCCTCCCCTGTTCTCCAGGCTGATCCACAGGGACCCTGGGGTAAAGGCTGGCAGGATGGTCACTTCCTGCCTGGTCTGGCATGGTGCTGGAGGCAGGGCCCAAGGGCAGGCCCTGCCTCCCAGCCCTCCTCAGGCCTTGCTGCACTCTGTGCCTGCCCGTGGGGGTGGGGTGCTGCCCAGCCGTGTTCTGGGTGCTGTGGGGTGGGCTGCTGCCCGGCTGTGGTCTGGGTGCTGTGGAGTGGGCTGCTGCCTGGCCGTGTTCTGGGTGTCATGGTGGTCCTAATCGCCACCCCTGCCCACAGAGGCCGTACGACATCCACTCGAGCAATGCGGTGGAGTCCCTGGTACAGCTGTTCGGCACCGTGAGCGTCCAGTATGCCCCGACCTGGTCCAAGGACATGGTGGCCCTGCTGCGGAAGGTGGGCGGCTGCCCTGTCTATAGAGCCCTGCCCCTGGAAGGGGGCCCCACGTCATGCAGGGTCAGCATTGCTTTATCGGGGCTCCGGCCACCCCATGTTAACTAAACTGGTTTGGGAAGTGGATCTTGGCTCCCAGGGACCTGAGGGAGGAGCGTGTCATGCCCAGCCCTTGGATGGGTCTGAGTGGCCCCTCATGTCAGCACATGGCAGGCACATCCCCTCCACCGCTGCCACTGTGTCCATCAGCAGGAAAAGGATGTGGGTCTGGGATACGCCCCCTTATGGAGAGTTACAACTCAGCAGGTGGAGCCTGGTGCGGCGGGCCACTGGTGCCCCCTAGTGGGTGCCTTGGCCGCACATCCCTGCAGCCCCACCTCCTGGCCTCGGCCTCTGCTGTGTCCTCGGGCTCAGGGGCTTGGCCAGAGGCCCAGTCTGACTAAACTGGCCGTGGGCTGGCCACCGCACTGACCAAACTGCTTTAGCTGCACTTGGCTCATGTCCCCTTGTGGGCCCCGGCACCCTGAAACCCTGACCTCAGGCCCTGGCGCCTTGTTCCAGCTCCTCACAGTGAACCCGGAGCACCGTGTCTCCAGCCTCCGGGACATGCAGGCAACCCCCTCACTGGCCCATGTGCCCTGGGACGACCTGAGCCAGAAGAAGGTGGAGCCGGGCTTTGTGCCAAACGTAAGAGAAACCCCTCCCTGCCTGGGATGGTGGGGGCACGCCGGCCACGGACACGGCTCAGTCCTGGTCCCCCACAGAAAGGCCGCCTGCACTGCGACCCCACCTTCGAGCTGGAGGAGATGATCCTGGAGTCACGGCCCCTGCACAAGAAGAAGAAGAGGCTGGCCAAGAACAAGTCTCGCGACAGCAGCAGGGACAGCTCCCAGTCCGTGAGTGTGGGGGAGGGGTTCCCGGGCCCTTGATTCAGGATTGGAGGGGAGATGTCATCACCACCACCTCTGCTTCACATGGTAATGGGGTCCCCAGGGCGTCCTGTAAGACCCCTGGCTGGGGATGCGTCTTGAAATCTGGGAGACAGTCTCCCAGTAGTTCAGGAAGAGACCTGGGAGCCCTCGCCCACCGTCCCGGCTGAGCCCCTCTCCTAACCCAAGCCCCTTGCAGTGGTTCCTTCTCAGAGCCCGGGGGGACATGAGGCGTGGCCTGCGAGCACACTGGGACCCCACAGGGTGGCGCCCAAGCACAGCCAGTGCTCACAGGGAGGATGGCTCTCGGTGTGGATGTGGATGTGGTGTGGATGTGGATGTGTTGACACGCCACGCCCCCTGGGGCTGCCTGAGGCCCGCTGGGCCCAGCAATGCCAGCCAGGGCCTGTCCTTGGAACTACCCCATAAGTTGCCACCCTGAGAGGTGATGTAGCTGCCAACGCCCCCGCCACCTGCAGCCCCCCTGGGAGAGTTTCAGTTGGTAGTTCCCGAGGGCTGCCAGGGGCCTCACACTCAACAGTCACCAGGGCTGGGTCCCTGTTACCAGCCAGAGGGACTGGCTCCAGCCCTGCCCTGACGCCTGCTTCTCAGGGGCACATCATGGGATGGGAATTCGTGGAAAGGGGTCTGGCAGAGCACGGCGCCCAGCAGAACCTGCCCGGGAGGGGTCCCGATGTGAGGGCGCTCTGAGAAGCCTGATCGTGTGGAACAGCTCTGGGCACCATGCTGTCAGCCCTGGCAGCGGGCTGGGCTTTCCCCCTTGGGCCCCTGTGGTCACTGGCTTCGGGTCACAGGGGAGATGTCCACCCCCAGGCACCTGGCTGCCTGAGGCCAGAGTGCCCAGGGCCCTAAGAGCAGGTCTCTGGGAAGACCCAGCAGCCAGTGCTGCGGGTGCGCAGGCGCGGGCAGCGGCTGAGGGACCGAGGAGCGCAGGTGCGCGCCCGCGGGCGGGACTGGAGCTTGCGCGTGTGCAGCGGCTGACGCAGGCCCGTTTGTCTGGCTCTGGCAGGAGAACGACTACCTGCAGGACTGCCTTGACGCCATCCAGCAGGACTTTGTGATTTTTAACAGAGAAAAGTGAGCGCATGAGTGTGGGCACGTGACAGCGTGGGGGGGAGTGGGAAAATGGGGCGCGGGGGTGGCAGCACCCACGGGCTGCTCTTTGGGGGAGTCCACGCAGTGGCCCTGGGGGACTGCCTAGACTCCTGCGGGAGGGGACTCCCGGGAACCTTTTGCTTATAAGCTGATGCTGGTGGCTGGCATCCCTGGGAGACCCAGGCGATGGGCCCTGTCAGCTGATGGCCTCCTGGCCACGTGAGTGTATGTCAGGGTCCCGTCACCCCACCAGTCATTCATTCACTCATTCACTCGGCAAACTGTCACCAGAGCTAGGAGGTCTTGTGGGGCAGGAGAGGGCAGGGCTGGCCCACAGGGAGATAGATGCCAGGCCGCCAAGCAGCTGTGGTGTCTGGGCTGTGGAGGGAGGACACTGTGGGGCTCCCTGTGCGGGTGGGCAGGGCAGGCTTCCTGGAGAAGGGGGCCTGAAACCCTGGCCTGACTACTCTGCCTTCTCGGGGGGGCTGGGGGCAGGGCCATGTGTGGGCAGAGGTTTGGGGCACTGGCCAGCATCCTGAGGGCAGGCGCCACTCAGCACGGCTTTGTCGGACCGGCTCACAGCACTGGGTTGGGTTTCCTTCTGCCTGGGCTTTGACAACAGCCGGAGGTCTGTGAGGAGAGGCTGCTCTCCCCTGGGTGGGCCCGCTCGGGGTCTAAGCAAGAGCGCCCAACACTGATCTGTCTCTAGGCACCTGTGGGCGAGTTTTTGGGTCGTGGGGTCTGGGGCGACGCATCAGGGCCGTGTGATGCAGGGTGAGCCCCACGGGGTGCTTCTCAGGTGCGTCAAGCCCCTCCCCGTGTCCCCGCCAGGCTGAAGAGGAGCCAGGACCCCACAGCCCAGCCGCTCCCTGCGCCCAGGCCCCAGGAGGAGGCAGAGCCACCAGCGGACGGCGAGGTGGCGGGGTCCACCCTGCCCATGTGCGGCCCCCTCTGTCCATCCACGGGCAGCAGCTAGGTCCCTGGCAGAGTGTGGACAGTCAGGCGGCTGCATGGACATCCCCACGGGGCAGCCACCACCTGCACTCGCCTTGGACTGCGAGCTGCCCCTGCCCTCGGGGCATGGCGAGGGGGCCAGAGACCTCAGGTCCTCTCAGGACACGACGTGGAGGGGCAGGCGCTGTGGACAAGGCGGCACCTGAGCCGTCTGCCCCGGCCTCTCCCGGGGGCCCTCGGGCTGCCTCTGAGCAGGTCACCGAAGCCAGGCTGTGTAAACCCTGTCCCAGGCACCCTGGGCTGGCCACCCACCTGCAGGCCTGGCTCGAGATTGTTTCCTTCTTGTTCATGAGGGGAGGGTTGGGGAGGGTCGGGTGGGAGGAGGACTGTTTCACAGGGCTGCCCGGTCCCAGTAGTCTCTGCTGCTTCTGTAGCGTTCTTACCTCTGGGGCTGCGATATGAGAAGCCTGAGTGGCCACTGTGTTACCTGTGTCTGTCTGTGTCCGTGAGGGGCAGGGCGGACACCCCCGTCGCTGCCCCTTGGAACGGCGCTGGGGGCGGGGGCTGTTGCTCCACCTCCTCCCCTTTTGGGGGACGAGGGGCCTCCTGGAGGATGAGTGTCTGGGACAGAGGAAGCCCTGGGTGCCGAGGAGGAGCGCCCCCTGGTGCCAGACCCTCAGACACAGCAGGTGTGTCCCCTGGTCACTATGGGAACCACCTACCAGGCAGGGGAGGGAGTGGGGCTGGGTAGGCCCTGCCCACCTCCATGTGATGCCACCACACCCACACCACTGTCCTGAGCTCCCAACATACCACCCTCTCCTTCCCACTTGACTGCCACCTCTGGGAAGAGGCGTCTGGGCCTGACTGGTCATCCTCGTTCCCAGAGCCGGGGCCAGGGCCCAGATGCAGGAGGGCACCCCTCATGTCTGTGACTGACTGTGTGAACGAGTGAACGACTGCACGACCGACTGCGTGAACGAGTGAACGACTGGGTGAATGAATGCCTAAGTGGGTGACTGACCGAGTGAGCGAGCAGTGGTTGAATGCATGGCACCACTGGGCACTGCCTGACTGCTGCCCCCACACACAGCAGCCACCCCCCGCCCCCCCACTGCTCAGCAGCCGCCCCAGCCGGGGACAGCTCCTTGGTCCCTTTCTAGGACCCACCTCTCTGGGCCAGTCAGCTGTCACGGAGGTGCCCAGCACCCCCCATGCTGAGGCATGGGACCCCACAGCTAAGCTCCTGCTTTGTCACTGCTGCCCCTGGCCGTGCACCCTGCGAGGGGCTGATGCTGGGGGAGGGGTGGGGTGCATCTGTGGCCCAGCCTTGGCTCTCTGATGATGACGTGCTTTTTGGGGGTGCCCTGTTGGCCCTGAGCACAGCAGGACTGCCGCCTCTTGGTCAGCGGACACAATGCTGAGCCAGGGGCACTGGGGGTGGGGACGAGCGGGGGGTCATCTGCTGGGGTTAAGTGTTCCTCCGTCCACACCAGCTCCATGCAGGCCGGCGGGCCAGCATGGGCACCATGGCTGGTTTGTTCCTCCACCCGCCACTGGGACGGCACAGTGCCCGCTCATAGCTGTGCTGTTCTGACCTTGTGTCCAAGCTGACCAGGTGGCCGCTGGCCACCTCCCCAAGGACTCTGGGGCCAAGGGCAGCCCGGGAGTTATTTTCTGGGGATTCTGGGGCTGAGCCCGAGAGTCCTGATCAGAATCTCAGGAAGCCTTTTGCCACCAAGCAGGCAGGGCCCAGCCTGGGTGTCTGCACATGTGGGCACGTCTGTGTGTGAGAGGGCATCAGCCCCAGGCCCCACCTGTCCTCTGCTGCCTGCTGGAGGTGTGGGCCTCCTGATGTGTTCCACATGGGCCCTCATGCAGCCCCATGGCCCCCAACCATCTGGCCCGTCTGTCCTGCCTGAGCGGTCACAGCCAGTGTCCCCTGCCTTTGGCTTGCTGCTGCCTGGCAAGCCTAGGCCAGGGTGCCCACCCCTCCCTGCCACCTGGAACGAGCTCCGCCCCTTATGCCACTTGACAGTGGGTGTTGTCGCTGCGGGGCCTCCAGGCCCAGCTTCCCACTGTGTAGAACTGGGGCAAGGAGAGCCACACACTGCAGCTTCCGCCGCGTCTTTAATGGACCGGCTCACGCCAGCTCGGGCATCTGGCTGGGCGGCATGCAGATGCTGGCTATAGCTGTCCTCAACGTACAAAACACTACGTCTAAGAAGCCCCCGGAAGACACGTCTCATAATAAAAAGCACAACTAAAGGAGGTGGACGTCCCCGGGTCGGGCCGCGAAGCACGTGGAGGTTTGGTCCTGGGGACAAGTACAGTCGCTAGAAGTCTCAGAAGTCCTCCCGATGGGTCCCTGAAGTTGGTACAGCTCTGGGTGCCCAGGGCACTTGGGTGGCTGAGGGGAGCCAGGGAGGCTGTGGGAGCAGGCAGAGTGTGGCAGTGACTTAAGAGGGGGACAGACCCCCAAGGCGGGGCACAGAGCCCTTCTCAGCCTCCCCAGCTGTGCCCTGAAGTGCCAGGCAGTGGCACAGTTGTCAGGCGGTGCCCCACTTGGTGCTAGGCCCAGCGGTGTGAGGACGCCTGGACCCGGGACGCCCTGAGCTGTCCCCGCTGCCTTCAGCCCCCTTGACCTGACAATGAGGGCTCCCCACGGGTGGCAGGAGCTCCGGGGAGGGGAAGGCAAGGGCCAGCACCATTCTGCATGGGGAAAGGTGGGGAGCTCGGTGGAGCGGGGTGGGGGGTGTCTAGGAGAGGGAGGTGATGTTGGAGCGGCCTCCAGGGGGCGCCATGATCTTCTGAGCTGTGCGTCTGGCGATGTGGTCGTCAGCCTGAGACCCTGGAGGAGAAGGCAACTCGTGGGCTGAGGAAGGGGCGGGAATGGAGGGGTGGGGGCTTCCCAGTGTCCATCCAGAAGGTCAGGACTGCAGAGGTCGCCACCACGTGCGCACAAGCCGGTTCTGCTCACAGGGCCGCGTGGTGGGTAGAGCAGGGGACTGGGCAGGAGCTCCCAGCACTAAGGGTTCTTGGATACCCTGGAAAGTGTCCCAGTGTTGGCACTCTGTGGGTGGGAGACTATTACCCTGTATGGAGGTTGCCCCTCCAGGAGCCTGTCGTGCCTCAGGGCTAGCACAGGCTGGGCCAGACCTCACTGTGGTGAGTCTCGGCTCACCCCGCACACGGGGACCCACATGCTCCCAGCTCCTAAGACAATGCTGGATTTCCAAGGGGACCTACTCTGGTCCTAAGACCCAGGAAGTGAGCAGGGACTGCCGTCACCATAGGAGGGCAGCCCTCATGGAAGGAGGAGGCAGGTCACATCCCCAGACAGTGTGGCTGCTTCCCCAGGGCTGGAGTGGGGGTTAGCTCCATTCTGCAGGGACAAGTCCCTCTACCCATGGTGCCAGAAGCTCACATCTGGCCAGGGACTTGGGCAGCCACTCGAGTGTCCTTCCATCTCAGCCTTCCCATGAGACCCTGGGGCCCCTGGGTCCTCTGAGCCATCCCTGCTCATCTTGCTAAGGGCTAGCGTGGTGGGGCAGGCCAGGGCGGGGCTGCAGAGGGGCCGTCCCAACTAGGAGGCATCGCACGCCCATCCCTGCTGGCAGTGGCCAGCGCTGCTCCTCCCTGTGGTTGAGGGCGGGGTCATGACAATTAACCTGGGCCAGAAAGGGGCTTCGCCAGCCTCCCAAGTACAGGGGAGGGTGCCCCACTATCCCCACTTCACCCAGGAGCCCTGCCTGCTGGCTGCCTTCTGCTTGTGGGGCACAGGTGTGGAGGATGCCACTGATTCTTGGGGCCCAGTTAGGCCCTAGTGGCCGAGGCTCAGTGGTCCCCAGTGCTTTTCACCACTCAGAGCACCCCAGGGGCCCTGGCTTCCCAGACTCAACTCACCAGAGAGGCTGAACCCCGACTGGTGCAGGTTCCGCACGGGGAGCACGGAGACCTTGCCGGGGCAGCAGATGCGGGCTGGGGTGCTGCTGGTGGCCCTGGCAGGCATGACTGCCTCGTGTACTGGCCCGTCATAGAGGCCCCGTGGCACTCCGTGGATCTCCGCGAGCTGTGGGCAAGGAGTGGGTGAGGGCGCTGGGATCCTGGAGGCTCTCCCACCAATGGACGACATCCACCCACGTGCTCAAGTGCACCTGTGCACTGCACACCTCCCTCCTACATTCCCACCCACGTGTGCACACACATCTCCCTCCCTGTACTACATTTACATACGTGTGTGCACATGTCCTTACGTCTCCTCCCTTCACTCCCACCTACACACATGTGCAGACACCCACCTCCTACATCCCCACTCGTGTGCACACACCGTCCCATGTGTGCACACCTCCCTGCACTGCTTACACACGTGTGCACATGCCCTCATGCCTCCTCCCTTCACTCCCACCTACACATGTGTGCAGATACCTACCACCTACATCCCCCCCCCACATGTACGTTCACCTCCCCACTCCTGTGTGTCCACACACCCCTCCCTGTGCACATGTGCCCTCATAGTCCATCAGTCTCGCCTACACACAGGTGTTATGTACACACACCTTTTTCCCTGCATTCCTATCCACACACATGCACCCATGTGCACACACACACCCATGTGTACACCCATGCACAAATGCATGCACACACATGCCCGCATAGCACCGTGTGCCTGCACATGTACACACACACACACACATGTGCACACATGTCCAGGAGCCTCTTTTCCCCGGCAGCCCCCAGTAGCCAGGGTTCCAAGTGAGAGGAACACGGCCTGAGTGGGGCCACCCTGCATGAAGAGCTTCTTCCTGGAAGAAGGAACCAGCCCCACTATAGCACCCTGGCAGCCCGGCCTGCGTGGGTGGGGACACCTGCGGGCACGGCTCTTACCCGGTTCCGTGCCTTTATCCTCTTATAGACAAAGTCGGGGAAGGTCTTCCGGGGAATGAAGCGGCCGGCCCCAGGGGTGACCAACAGTTTCCCGTCCTCCAGCACAACCCGGCCCTGACTGATGACCACTGTGGGGGCCCCTCGGCACTCGATGCCTTCAAAAATGTTGTACTCCACGTTCTGGGGAGAGAATGAGGGTCCTGCCCGCGGCGCCCACTCCCAGCCCTGCTTCAGGCTCAGCCTTCAGAACACCCCTGGGGCCACTTGTGAGCCAGCCAGTGTCCACTAGCCAGCTCTGTCCTCAGAGCCCACATGACCACGCCATCACTGACGGCCAGAGCTCCAGCAACCCGGGCCTCAACCTCCCAAGCCCAGGCCCCAAGCTGCTCCTGAAAATGGTGAGTGAGTGGTCCCCGAGGGCTGGTTCCGGGAGCAGGCACAGCTTCTGCGTGACCTCCTCGTGTGTCCGGCCGGGATGCGTGCTCCAGGCCCACAGCACTGCCGTGGCGGTGGACCCCGTCCCCCGCTGCCTGCCGCTGGCTTGGGAACTGGCGTGTTTACCAGGTTGTGGGTCTTGGCAGAGATGATCTTGGTGGCCTTGGGGTTCCATATAACCAGGTCAGCATCTGAGCCCACGGCCACTCGGCCCTTCCTCGGGTACAGGTGGAAGATCTTGGCTGCGTTGGTGCTGGTCACTGCGACAAACTGGTTCTCGTCCATCTTTCCTGAGGCCTGTGAATCGAGAAGGCCACCTGAGGAGGGAGACACTGGCGAGCCAGCCTTCCTGGACAGCAAGGTCCTTGTTTTGGGGTTCCACGTGGCCGTTAGTGGGGGAAGCACTCAAGCCAGGCTCCCTGCTCCTCTGGCACGGCACCTCCCAGGATGGCAGGGACACTGGGACCTTCAGCGGGTTCTGCTGCTCTCTGAGATGAAACAGTCTCAGACCAGCCTGCTGATTGGACTGCCACCTGTGGACTCTGTTGGGGACTCAACTGTGTCCCCAGCAAGACACCCACAGTGAGTGTGGCCGTTTGGAAATGGGGCCGTTGAAGAGACAACCAGTTGAGTAGGGTGGTCCTAGTCCTAAGGGAGACACAACTTTATAAAGAAGAGATGCAGACACGTGGAAGAAAGACAGTGTATGAAGGCGGGTGATGCTGCCAGGCACGTCATGGCCACCAGACACTGGCGAGACGGACAGGACCCGCCCCTGAACCTCTGGGGCCCAGTCTGTACCCACCACGCATCGCTCCCAGACCACGGCCATGCGCTCCTCCACGCCATTGGTGCCCTCGGGGATCAGCGTGAAGTTGTCCTTGCCGACAGCCTTCTGAGCTGTGCTGAAGGTGCAGTGGGCACTGCCCGTCACCTGGAGGTCCCCGCTGAGGAGAGACTGAGGTCAGTGGCAACCCAGAGGGTGATTCTGGAGCCAGCTGGGTGGGCTCCATGTCCCCACCACCTGCCAGTGCAGCTTCCAGGGCCCACAGGCTGCCTGAGTGGTCAGGGCCGGACTGGTGGCTGGGTGTCTGGGAGGGGACGGGCTGGACAGCAGCGAGCTGCTGGGGAGAGGAGCACGCCCACACACGGCAGCCCCGGCTGGGCACCCAGGGCTGGGGTCTGGGCCTCAGCTGCCCTCAGTGGTGCTGGGCAGGTCCGTGCACTCGGCTGGGGGTCCCGGCCGGCGACCCTCACCTGGACAGCAGGGCAGTGAGGTGCTCCGAGGTGCTGGGGTCTGGGCTGATGGGAGGCGAGGTGACGAAGGCTGCAGCTTTTGCCCAGTTCTTGCTCCAGTAGTGGGACCCATCGGCTCCCAGGCTGGCAGTGATGGGCTCCCCAAACACGACAACCCCTGCGGGAGGCAGTGAGAGCCAGGGGCCCCAGCCTGCACAGGCCCCCACCCCACCCCACCCGGGGGACCCAGCAGGAGGCCAGGCAGAGGCCTCGGGCTGGCAGACATGGCCCTGGCACTCCAGACAGTGGGGGTCAGGCCTGCCCGGTGGTCCAGCTGCACCACGGGGGGGCAGCCCCAGTGAGACACAGCCACGTCCTGCCCAGCCCGCCTGGCCCAGTGGTGAGGGCCCCCTCCTGTAGAGACCGGACTGAGAGCCAAGGAGTGCTGGCAGCTGCAGGAGAAAGTGCAGGAGGGGCTCCCAGACTGGGCTGGTTTCTACCCTTCGTGCACAGAAAGTGTCCAAGGGGAAGCCCCTGCCTCCATTCTTGGGACCCAGCACAGCCTGGGGGACCAGAAACAAGTGGTCTTCACAAGATGCTAGCTTGGTCGGGCAGCTAGAGGCTGGCAATGAGGCAGGAACCCAGCCCCCGGGTCTTCTCTGCCTTCTCTGGGTAGTTCTGCTGCCCAGGAAACCCAAAGGAAAGTGAGGAGCGTCCCTGTGACCCCAGGCCCCTGGAGGACCATCAAGTGCACACGCACTCAGAACCTGTGTGACACACACTCCCTGTTCCCAGTGACTCACTTCTGGGGATGCCCCAAAGGTTGGGGACCTCAACCCTACTGGCACTGGGATGTGAGGCACGTACGCCACTGCCAGCCTGCCCCCCACTAACATGTTCAGCAGGGCCATAGGTGTCTCTCAGGGCCAGCCAGCCCCAAGCCCCTCCTGCCTGCCCGTGGTCCAGGGCTAGGTGCCTCCCCCCAGGTCCCCAGCCGCCGGGGATACTTACCTCGCCGCTTGGCCTGGGCGACCACGTCGGCCGCAGCCTTGCTCATCACCTTGGTGATGTACAGGGGGCAGTTGGCCTGCTTGGCAATGGTGACAGCACGGAAGGCAGCCTCGGCCTCCACCTGGGGAACAGGCACTCAGGCTTCGTGGAGGCCACAGCTCCCACCTGTGACACCGGTCAGGGGGTGTGGGGACACCTTTGGGGGGTGAGAGCCCCGGTGGGAGCTGGGCCTGCCAGGCATCCGCAGGGCTGCCCAGCCTGTGGTCCTGGCCTGAGGGTGACTGCCGCACGGGAGGAGCTGGGGGCGTCCACCCTGGGCAGAGCCTTACCTCCTCCGGGTGGCTGAGTACGTGGCCCTCGGGCCCAGTGATGCCAAGCTCCAACATCCGCTTCTGCTCCTAGACAAAACCCCAGGCCCCGCTGCAGCCCCATGTGTGTATGTTGGCGGGCGCCCCCACATACCCCACCCCTCAGATCCCCACACCATGGCCCCCACCCTACAGGCTCCACCCCACGAGTCCTTCCCACAGTCCCTGCCCCATGGCTCTGCTGGAGGGGCCCAGTGTAAACGGAGGGCTGGCCCTGCCGGGCAGCCGCTGAGTCAGAGGCGATGAGTCCCTGGAGGGAAGGGACTGCCCGCTCCCTGGTTCACAGCTCAGGCGGGGGCTCCGGGACAGCACTTCCTCCTGCCCGTGTCCCCCCATCTGGTCACGGGCAGGCGCCCCCACACCTCCTCCACAATGTCCCCGTTCTCTGCGTGCACCAGTGCCAGAGCCCCCAGGTCTCGGATGATGCTGAAAATCTCGTACATCTGGGGAGGGAGGCAGACGGGCCCCGTGTGGGCATCTGCGTAGGATGCTGGCGGGACACCGCCCTCACCCCGGTCCCCACCTCACCTGGCCGTCAGCACACTGACACCTGTCCTTGTATGCCATGAAGACCAGGAAGGAATTCACGCCTGGGGGAGAGGGTGTCCGATGGCTGGCTGCCTCATGAGCCTGCTCAGCTCCGGAGCGGTGGGTACCCCCAGCAAGCCAGGACCGGAGTGGACAGCTGCCTCCCAGTCCCTGCCCCTGGCTGCTGCTCCTGCCCCACACAGACCCCCAGGCTGCACAGGTGGGTGAGGAGGCCTTGTCCCACAGACCCACGCAACTCTCCTAAGCCCTGCCATGGTTCAGCCCGATGATCGTGTGTGGGAGAAGATGCAGCCATTTTTGTGGCTGGGCTGGTTCTGCACAGGTGACCCTACACTCCTGCCAAGGGGATCCCAATGCCCAGGAAATGGGTCCTGGGGTCCCCTCCCCCTGGAGGGGTGTCTTCCCCAGAAAGAGGCAGGCACTCAGCGGCAGCCAGCAGCCGGCAACAGGAGGCTGCATGACTGCAATACCTAAGGGAGGCACCCTCCCAGCCAGAGTCCTGGCAAGTCGAAGGCGCCACCCAGGACTCGCACAGCTTCTCCCACTGCACGGACACTGCCCTGGGACCAGGCTGGCAGGTCCGGCCTGGCCACGGGGTCACAGTATTCCATCCCTGCCTTCAGGTGTCTCTCTCAGGGTCACCTGCATTGGAGGGGAGACCTGCAGCCCCAGCCATGGGTACTGCTGTTCTCACCTTTGCCCTTGACCAGGGCCTCCAGCTCCTCCTTGATGCTCTCGTGCCAGCGGGCAATGTCCACGTGCAGGGAGTAGTCACAGCAGGCCATGCTGTCCGCCCGCTCCCGCCACTGCTCATAGGCCGCCAGCAGGCTCACTCCCGCATCCGGGAACACGTGGTCCACTGCAGGGACAGTATGGTCAGCCAGTACCCCCTCCCCCGCCAGTCACTGGACACCACTGCTAGGTCCAAGGAGGTTTGGCTTCATTCCCCAAGAGGTCAGAACACACGTTTCAGGAATAGACTAGAGGCCATCGACTTCTAAGGGGCCCGATTGTGCTACAAACTCTGCTTCTTCCATTCCCTTCAGAGTGGCATCTTCCCAGCCTCTCTGTGCTGACTAGTGGGGAGAATGAGAGAGTCTGGTTCCAACCACCTCCCTCCCCCTCCCCCAGTGGACACATTCCACCTAAGGGACAGGGGTGGGAACCAAGGACTTTGTCCACCCTCCAACGTAGGTGACCCTGAATGAGAAACCTGAAGGCAGGGATGGAATACTATCCATGGTGCAGGATAGCCTGCTTTGCTAGCAGCTGCCACAGACTGGCTCTCTGAGTGTGCCTGACTGACCCCACATGCCTTCAACAGTGTCACTCACCCTCTGCAGTGACAAGCTTTTGCCGGGAGAACTACAGCACACGTGGGCACCTCACACACATGCTCGGGTCCAACACATGGCCAAGTGGCTCTCCTGAGTGCACCGGCATGATAGCACCAAATAGGAAGGAGCCCCACGCCAGGAATGCGGTTCAGTGTTGACCTTCCCACTCCCCCCAGTCAGGAACCCAGGGCCCCAACTCTGCAAGCAGCTCACTGCCATGAGGACACAGAGCCAGCCTGGGGCTGGGCAGGGGGAGGAAGAGGCTGGCCTCCTGCCTGTTGGTGTTTCTCTATCTTCATGGTGACACCTCACAGCTTGTTTGATCCGTGGTGACATCCATGCTGCAGACGTCCTAGCCCTGCATGGCCCACAGCCACAAGCATGAACACCACCCCAATCACCAGTCTCCTTGGTCAAACTCACTGATGGGCATGGCTAGTTTTCTCCACCGCGAAGTGGAGTGAACCCAGTGTCTGTGCCACCATGTTGGCTGTGGTGAACTGCCACTTGTGCTGCAGCCTAGCCCTATAAGGTGTTCTCATTGGGGGAGCGGAGGAGGTGGCAGCAGCACTTACTGGATGCTGGGGATCATTCAGAACAACTCACACCCACCTGAGAAGGAGGGCCTTGTTCTTTCTCCTACTCCACAGCCAGCAAGGTGTGACCGATGCGAGCTAGGGTACCTGAAGTCACACAGCTAGCACACGGTGCAGCCAGGTTCCCATTGGACACACGGCCTGAGCAGCATGGCCAGAGATGGAGCTGGGCTCTTATGTGTCTGGGTTCACGGTGCGCAAGCACGTTCACCCAACGGGCTTTAGTCTTCCAAGGGCATCTTTGCTGACTGGAGGTTCTCTGAGTGCACGGGAGCTAAAGCGTGCGGGGACTGAGCCCAAGCCTGGCCAAGTTGGCCCTGAGGCCATGGTGACTCTTGGTGCTGGTATGATGGTAATGATTCCTGTCATCTTCCAACCTCTGTCTCTAACTCATCGACATGGGAGGGAGCTTTCTGCAACTCAGGCCTTGGAGGCGTGAGGCTAAGGATCAAAGCTGTGTCTGGCATTTCTGACCACAAGACCCCCCCTTCCCTGATGCAAAGCTTCTGAGTTTTCCAAACCCCAGCCTGTGGCCAGCTTCTGATTTCCCAGAAATACCAACTGGGCCCAGCACTGACTTCCCCAACAATCCCGGGAGCTCAGAACTAGCCAAGTCAGGAACACTCCACAGTCAACAAGGCAGGAAAAGGCAGGCATGGTTTCCTCAGACAGGAAATACCACGACATACAATTCTTCCCGCAAGACACCCCTGTGGCAGGGGACCAAGATATGGGGTGGGGACTCAGAAACTCACATATCATGGTGGTCCCTCCCGCTAGGGCTGCCTTGGTGCCCTGGAAGAAGTCGTCAGCCGGGGTCATGCCTAGCGCAGGCATCTGCAGCCGTGTGTGGACATCGATGCCGCCTGGCAGGACCATCAGGCCATGGGCATCAATTGTTCTGACGCCCCCGGGGACAATAAGGTTTTCCCCGATTTGTCTGAAAGCAACAAGGAGAGATTTCCCTGGTCACCAAGAGCCCGGATCAGGGCCTGAACGGCTCTGTTGGCGGCATCTGGAGCTGTGAGTGTGCATCTGGGCCCCTGCACTTGAAAGGAAGGTCAGGCCAGTGAGAGCACGCTCCTGACTGGCTCCTCACGGCTGCAAGAAGGGCCAGGCCTCCTGCTGGGCTGTTCAGGATGAGCAGCATCATCAGTTCCATCTGGACAGTCAACATGGAAGACCCACCAGAAGAATGAGATGGTCCCTGGCGACCACGACTGACCTTCCTTCCCATCAGGCCACACTAGACAGACCCTGAGAGAATGGGAGGAAAGTATGGAACAGAACCTCAAATTTGTAAAAAGTCCAGACTTCCCAGACCAGTAGACTAGTGGATCCTCTGAGACAATTGTCCTGAGAGACTCTTTAAACCTTGAACTGACACAATTCCCTCGGGTCACCTTGTAGTGAAATGACTGACTGGGTATGACTTGTGAGTACAAGGCAGCTATCTGAGACCAGATGGTCAACAATGACACTACAGCAAAGATGAGAAGACAGGGACCGGGCAACCAGAGCTTGGGAAAGGGGAAACCAGAACGCAATTAAGACACTGCAAATCATTGGGAAGATCGTAACTCACGTCACTGAACGGTCTGAGCACAAACTGTCCAAGGGGAACCTAATTTGCTGTGTAAACGTTCACAGAAAACACAGTAAAACGTTACAAAAAAACAACACAGAGCATGAGGGGGCTAAGCTGGTGCAGACGCTACGGCCCCTCTGGCATCCCACTGAAGGGTCTGCTGGATGGTCACTGAGCAGTGGCTGAAGCCGCTTGACTGGAGCAGCAGAGACTGACACGCAAAACCAAACCCACTGCTGTCAAGCCAACTGCGGCTCATGGCGCCCCCGTGTGTCACAGAGTGGAACTAACCAGAGGCTTGCTGGCTTCATCCTTACAGACACAGACTGCCAGGCCTTTTCTTCCACAGCACCACTGGGTGGATTTGAGCCATCAGCCTTGAGGTAAGTAGCTGGCTGCAAACCATCTGTGCCATGCAGGGGCCTCAGAGACACCGACAAGCATGGGCAGTAAGTGTTTATTAAGCACATCCTATGAGCCCAGCATGTACTGGGTGCTGTGACAAGCACAGTGAAATATGGGCGCCATTTCCCGCTTTCTGAGACCTTCTGATCTGAGGGATTCTGCCACCACCGATGGCTTGGGCTTTGTCAGTACTCACCAAATTAGTGTTTCCAGCAAAGGGGGTTTGGGAAAAGAAAAAAAAAACATATAACCAAAC